GGGGAGGTGTCAGACATAGGTACCTCTAGACAAGAAATCTGGGTCCCTATCGGACATCCGGGATGAAATTGAAAAGCCCAGACATTCTACAGATATCTTGCATTGCGCTTGCATCGAGGTTAAACCCCTCTTGAGGCAATGTATAAAGGTGGCTGATGCTGAGAACTCTTGAACGACAAGGCAGTCTGGTGGACACTCCGCAATACTTTCTCAAGCGATTAGGTAGCCGACGGCAGATAACAAAGGCACAAAATCCAAGTTTGAAATGCAATCATGCAATGTAGATTAACAGTTGGCATCTGTTGACACTCGTCCTCACAGAACCCTAGAGCTGCCACCTGTGCGGCGCTGTCTAGCCCACACATGAGCTTGGGGTAGGTATAAGGCTTCGCATTTGGTTATTGCAATAACTCTTTTTTTCCCTCTACGTGATCAAGCGGTTGAGCCAGAAAACCTTGCTCAATGCGCGGTACTGGTGGAACAGGTTTCGTAGGTCTGCATATGTTCAGTTAGAACATTGGCCTGGGCAACCGAGCTCTTTCATTTTTCGACCATTAGGTTGTATCCCGTTTCTTGTCCCTTCTCAAGCTTGTTGACATCGCAGAGATACCTTCTCTACCCTTGTTTCATAGATCGCAGGGCGTTGTTGTCATAGTAACTGTCTTTGCTCTTTTCCTTTTGAAGGCCTTTTTTTTTTCTTTTTTTTTTTTCTTCCTTCCTCTCACATCTAATTTAAGAACCTGTCCAAGGCATGAGGCATGGCGACTGATACCTAGTAATATTCCCGGCCTGCGCAGTTAGGCAGTATATGTCATTGAAGCTTATGCTAACATCGAAGGTCGGTTGGTCAAAGACCTGCAGAAGAAGCGTGAGCTGCTGCCCACAAGTAGGAACCTAAAGATCACTATATCGATCATAGGTGACCCTATGGAGCAATGCAAGCAGCTTGGCATGGAAGCTGACACTGTGGTAAGATAAACGACATCCCAAGCCAGTCATGGATGCAAATCGAGAACATCCAGACACGGGAAAAATGGTGGTCAGTGCTCCAGGCTTCGTAGTATCAGCCATCCACTCATATCACTGTAATGGATACCGCCTGTACCTGAATGTAGCGATGCATCTCCAAATATTGGTGGCACAAGCTGCAAGGTTGAAGCTGAACAAGGACACCCACCTCCCACACCTCCGCCAAGAAATACTTCAGTTAAAATAGGCCGCGATGCGACACTAATGAAAACACCCACCACAGTCCCCAGAAACAAGCCGTTCCCACACTCAAACACCTGTGCAGTCTTGGCGGATGTGTGCGAATGCACACACACACGACTTTTTGGCAAAACGGACCATCGAAACGAAAGACGAAGATGAAGAAATTCAATTATCCTATAGAAAAGACTATTATTTTAATAGTTTTAAGTACGCTAATTCTATATCTTGAGTCCGTTTTCTTTCATTTCTTCGTTTAATAGAGATATAAGCAAATGAAATCTTATCGATGGTCCGTTTTGCTAAAAAGTCGTATGTGTGTGCATTCGCACACATCCGCCAAGACTGTACAATTTCCACCGCCAAACGCCTAATCCCCGTATCCACTGCTAAATGCTTAATCCGCTTTAGTACCCCTATTATTTAAATAACTATTAAGTTGCTAGCGAGTTTGGTTAATAGTTAGAATTAATTAATTTTATTAATAATAAAGCCATTTACACCTATACGCCCGTAATTACCTATTATAATTCACTATACTTCGTACTACTACTAAGAAGACTAACCCTTTGATGCTGGATTTGGGATAATTACATAGAGTAGATAATATGACTGGTAGGGTTGTACCCAGCTAGTTAACTATACCCGCGGCAGGCAAAATGCCTGCCGGGCGGTAGTTATATGCACGACCCAGCACTGAGGTTGCGGGTCGCTAACCCACTTTAGATTAAATAAGGAAGCGACAGGCGACTAGGTTTATAATCCCAATCGCTAATATAAGCTCCTAAACTTCTACCTTCTTCCTTCTACTATTAATATTTACTACTTTATAACGACCCTATCTAGCAATCGCTATTATATAGTAACTACAACTAAACGATCTAATTGACCGTAAGTAGTATTAATTAATTAACTATCGAATATAATAAATATACTCGTTATAGCTCTTTTCAAAGGAATATAAGTAAGTTTAGATTTATTACTATCCTCGTAATCGCTCTCAGCATTATAAGGACGTTAATTGCAATAATAGTATTTTTTTAAGTGGGCCGAAACGACGATAATACTCTCTCTATTATTTATAGTTTTTACTGTATCTCCGGAATTGTACTCCCTAAACAACTACTAGTAGAACGCAGTCGATGAATAAATAAATATTAGAAGATAGTAGACGTTTCTATCCTTACCGATAGAAGCTTACGCTCGCAACTTCTAATATTCCCCTATAAGAACAGCTCTTTTTAAGAAGGTTAAAATAAATATCCTACCTTTACGCTTTTCGCGGTAATTTATACTACAGAAAGATAATTACCACCCGGAACCAGCCTTTCTCGCAATTTCTTTACTCGAATAAACGTCGACGCTAAGGGTTTCCCTCTTATAATTATTTTTAATAGAATAAGAGTACCTTATAAAACTATAACTTCCTTTTAGGAATTAAAAGCTTCCTTTATTTATAATTATTAATAATACTAAGTACTACTACCTCTACCTCCCTAATAAAAACGTAAATATAGGATTAATTAGCTCTCAGCTTTCTAACCCTCCCTTAAAAAACCCCGACCTAGAGCTAAGCGTAAACAATAATACAATATATCTAATAATAGTAACAACCCCGTTTATTATTCGAACGATAATTACCCGCTTAATGGTAATAACGAATTTAATATTTATAATAAATTAACTATCGAACCCGACCCCCCTCCTCCCTCGAAGATATTTAAAAAAATAGGAAAGGCCCCCGTAAAGGCTATAGGTTCCGGACCCCGTACCCGCGCCCAAACCCGCTCCTATACAAAAGAATTAAAAACCCTAATATTTAAAAGCAATACTTAGGACAATAATATCGGAAACCCTTTAATAAAGATTATCTTACCTACCGGGTTAACCCTAAGCGAATATAAACTTCCTCTACCTAATAACCCGGGTAATAATAAATTTATTACAGACTACCTTATATAAAGATTTCGTATTTTTAATATAAAAATATTTAGACTTGGCGAATAATTAAATTAGGTAAATTGAGCCCGCGAAATTAATATTAAGATATTAAAAAACGAATTAAGGAGCGTCGGACCTATAATAGAAGAGGCTCTAAATAAATAGCTAAATAAGATCCTAACCGATTGTAAAATTTTTATTAATAAACTAGTTACAATAGCCGGCGATATAAATAACCCCGAAAGTAATAATTAACTAAAAGCTATTTAAAGAAGACTACTCTTCTCATTTCTGGCTAAAGTACCCCTATCGGAATATTTAGGACGAGAATCCCCTACCGGGGCCCCGACCTCTCTTATACGGAGTATTTTTATACCCGCTATCGGATTAAAGACCCGAATGCCTACGTCCTATCATTCCCCCCTCGCTAGTACAAACAGTTTCCCACCGGAAGGCGCAGGGACGAGAGGGGACGACCCCAGTATTAAAAATCTTATAATTAACAACATTCTCCGAGGTAGATACTACTTTAAAGTAAAAAGAGAGGATAT